AAAGATTTTATTTATCTATCTGACAGAGAGAGACACAGCGAGAGAGGGAACACAAGCAGGGGGAGTGGGAGAGGGAGAGGAAGAAGCAGGCTTCCCGCTGAGCAGAGAACCAGATGTGGGACTCGATCCCAGGACCCTGGGATCATGACTGAGCCAAAGGCAGACACTTAACAAGTGAGCCACTCAGGCGCCCCGCATTTCTGGGATTTCTAATAATATTGAACATCATGTTATCGGTTTATTGGCCACTTCCGTTCCCTGTTTTGAAAATGCCTATTCAAGTCATTTGCCCTGTTTTTTTTTCTATTGATTTATCTTTTTATTGTCGATTTGTAGTTCTTTATACGTTCTGAGTATTAATCTTTTGTTAATCCTTCGTTAGGCATGAATATCTTCTCTCTCTAGCTAAATTGTTAGTCTTGGAGGTGGAGAATAGGGGTAGAGAGTACACAATAGTCAGACCAGTAAGAGTCCTTTAGGTTTACAACTGCCTGTTTCCCTTACTGCGCGCTCTCCACATCTGCCAAGCTGCTGGAGGCACAGAGCACGGCCTGTAAGTGCCCAAAGAAGATTGTCCAAGGGCCAGGGAAGGTTACAGGCTGTTTCTTTTCGCTTTTTTAGAGAATCAATCACAAGGCAGGTAAAGAATCTTTTGAGTTTTCAGATTTTGAAACATCTAGATGAAGGGGTGGACACACCGAGGTGCACTTGGCTGCCCTCTCATCGGGGGCTGGTGCCGGAGATGTAATCTTTCTGCTTCAGGTGTTGCCTAGCGATTTCCCGCGCGTGCGCTCCATCTCTCCAGCTTCGCGGGAAGCTCTCCCAAGTGGGGGCCAGATTCCATTGGTTTAAATCCCTCCGGGACTGGCACACAACCAAACGCTCAGTTCCTTTATAGATTTACCTATGGGGCCACAGATATGCAAGGTTCGGCCGCTGCACTGGAAATTACAGTCAGGGAGGCGAAAATGCGCAGTGCACACGAAGTGGCATTGTAGCTTTAGCCACAAGCGTCCCACCCCTGTCTCCTGTGCGCTGACGGAGTCCCCGGAGAACGTGTCCTGGGGACGAGAAGTGGGGATCCGCTAAGAGCTTTAGAGGCGTCCCTGGGTCGGGGTGGGCTGGAGCTTGGGAGGGACCTTTTGGGAGGGTCGCCGATTCCTCCCTGCTCTGCTTCACAGGGACGGGGGCGGGGACCAGCAGGACTTTGGAACCTAGTGCCCGAGGTGTTGCAGAAAGAGGGCGCACGGTCAACACGCCCGCTTTGCAGCACGGCCCGCCGCAGCCCGCCGAGCCCTCTGGCCCACCCCCTACTCCAGGCAGCGGGAGCGCGCCAATGTGCCAGAGCACTGCCCCAGAGCACTGCCCCGAGGGCAGGGGGCGGGCCCGAATCATCAAGTGCGGGGGCACGTCACGGGCGCCCGCTCCTGATTGGCCGGCCGCGGCCGTCACGGGCCGGGCGCACTGGGATTGGCGCCGCCCGAGGCCAGAGCTGGAGTAACTGGACTCTGGGCGGCGGGTCGCAGTCCCAGAGCTCAAGGGGCTGGCGTCGGCGCCGAGCCCAAAGCCCTGGGTGGGAGCCTGGCCGGGACGCGCGCACCATGCCCTACGTGCTCATCAGCACCCAGATCCGCGTGGTGAGTACCCGCCGCCCCGCGAGTTGGGATGGAGTTGGTTGGGGCCGGGCCCGAGCCCGGGCAGAGGGCGCTGCCACTGCACCTTGGCGCCTCCCTCTCGGGCAGCGCCCGCCAGTGACTGGACCCGGAAGCCGCCCGGGACACGCCCCCTCGGGCCGCGGGTCGGAGGCTGGGGAGCGCACTCAGCCGGGATCGCGGGATTCGGGGAGTTCTGGCCGGCCGGTGCTTCCAGTGCCGCAAAGCGGGTGGGGTGCGTGCGTCCCCGCGGCCGAGTGGGCTCGGGGCGCTTGCGGCTCCTGTCCTACCTGCCCGCCCGAGGAAGCCAGGAAGCCCTGGCCTCACGTGTGCAGCACCCACTGCTCTACACAGAGCAGCTCCGCAGGGGTTACGGGGTGGGTGGGTGGGAGTGGAAATATTTGGGGGGAAAGAGGTTTGGAAAAGAAAAGGACATGCTAGGACGCTAAAACACATATGCCAAGTGCCTGGCCCATGCACAGCCACTAATAGCACCCTCAGGCACTTCGAGAAAGTCTTTAGGAGAGAAAGAAGGGGGAGACAGGCCCTGTGGTTAGAGGTGGGGAGACCATTCCGGAGTCAGAAGTGACGCCCCTGTCTCTGGGTGAAATTTCCTCGTCCAAGACGGTGCTGGTCGCCCCAGGAATCCCCTTTTAACTTCAGAATGGTACGACTGGGCACCCCAGCCAGCACCTCCGTCCTTTCCCACTACCGAGGTGCTTGGGTGATCCATCAGCACGTGCACAGCTCCTCTGAGATGGAGATAGCAGGTGGGGGGAGGGGTCGCCATGGGACAGGCGAGGTCTTGGCGGTGCCCTAGGGCAGTGGTTTGAGAACCAGTTACTTGGGCAGTTAAAATGTGCACTCCTGGGCCCCTTCCCAGACCTTCCAAAACACTCTCTAAGCCTGAGGCTTGGGAATTCAGTGCTCTTCAGGGGATTTTTTTTTTTTAATAAATAGAACAGCTTTACTGATATATAGCATACATGTCACAGAATGCACCAATTTAAAGTGTACAATTCGGTATTTTGTTAAAGCATGCTCAGGAGTTGTACAGCTATCACCTAATCAATTTTAGAACATTTCCATCCCCTTGAAAAGACACCCTGTACCCATGCCCTGTATCTTAGCAGTCACTCCTCACTGCCTCTGAGCCCCCCAGCCCTAGATAACCACTCATCTACTTTCATGCCTGGCTTCTTTCACTTTTACGTTTTCAAGGTTCATCCGTATTGTAGGATGCGTCGGTACTCATTCCTGTTTTGCCAAATAAGATCCCATCGTCTAGCTACATCACAGTTTATTCACGCGTCAGTTGACAAACACTTAGGCTGTTTCCCCTTTTGGGGTCTTGTGCATAATGCTGCTATGAACACTCCTGTACAAGTTTTTGTGTGGACCTGTTTTCATTTCTGTTTTCCAGGTGATTCTGACACATACAAACATGGATAGTGATACCTGGCAGGAAGTTGCCAGGAGGCAGGCAATGTCCAGCTCAGCTTGGAGCGGCCAGGGACGCCTCACATTGCCAGGCCTGCTCACTGAGGGCTCCACCCTTTCCCAGCTCGTGCTCAGCCCCCAGTGTTCCTCTGCACCCTGTCCGGCCTTGAACTGAAACTGGCTCAGGGCCAGCAGGCAGGGGAGGAAGGACAGAGAGACCCTCCACCTCTCCCTGGCAGCCAGCCAAGCAGCCACTGTGGCTTATCTTGCAGGAGGTGGGCCCTACCATGGTGGGCGATGAGCACTCAGATCCAGAGCTGATGCAGTATCTGGGGGCCTCAAAGAGAAGCGCCTTGGGAAACAACTTGTAAGTAGTGGCATTCCTAAGGATCTTCTCCCTGCCGGCCCCGAGACCTGCCCATTTCCTTTACGCAGCCAAGCCCAGGGATGACGCCACTGCCTAGCGTCAGAGGCCCTGCCTGCATCATGGGGATCTGTCCTCTGTGGGGTCAGTCCTGTCTGCAGCTTCACCGCAGCTCCCAGGCTTGCTCTGAAAGCTCTCACTGGCCCTCCCTTCACAAGGGAACCCCAGGACAGAGTCCAGCTGGTAGAGGACTCCATAAGTGGACTGTTCCTTGCCCTGCCCTCTCATCTCGGAGCTGGACCCCACCAAGACAAAGAAAGGCACAGAGGGAAAGGTTTCTCTCGAGCTGGCTGAGTAAGAAAGCTGAACTCTACAAACAGGCAGCAGGCAGCCTGGGTCCTCCTTCCAGCTCAGCTGCTGCCTGGGGACTTGGCCACGTCCCCTGGCGTTCACACCAGCTCCACAGGTGTGGAACTCGTGAGAAGTGCTCCAAGAATGAGCCCCAGTTCAAAGAGGGGAAAGAGGAGGCAAGCTGGCCCCAGCCCCTTGGGTCAGGGTTGGAGGGCTGAAGCCAACCCCATTCCTTTACCACGAGGCACTTGTCTCAAGATGCCCAGCTTGGGGCTTGAGCCCTTTACCTGACAACCCTTCATAATCAATCAACCCTGAAAGAAGGGACAGCATTCTGTGTTAGGGGGGCAGCACCCAGAGCCAGGAGCTATTAGGGGCCAACCTGTTGCTCCAGGACTGTGGGACAGGCAGGGCAGCAAGAGGGGGCAGAGCCGTGGGGGAGGACCCTGGAGAGAACAGGCCATTCCTCCTGAATAGTGCAGTGGCCCAGCGCACATGGGGCTGTCATCAGACTAACATGGGCTCTACAATCCATAGGACATTTGGAAAGCTACCCATCCCCTCCCAAGATTTCTTATTTATAAAATGGGAACCTTCCTTAGGTTGTCGGGAGGAAGAAACAAGCTATACAAGTCAAGTGCTTGGCAGGGGAGGGGGCAGGGAGTGTGCACTTAGCCGGGCACCTAGAAGGCACGCAGCCAATACCAGTCACTACCAGGATCCCTGACCAGGCCTCCTCAGCAGCAGACATTAGCTGTGTGCGAGGAATCGGCGCTCTGTGCCCCCTCAGGCTGTCCTTCCCCCCCCTTCTCTTCACAGTTATGAGTACTTTGTCAGCGATCCTCCTCGCATCGTCCTGGACAAACTGGAACGCAGGGGCTTCCGTGTGCTGAGCATGACGGGGGTGGGCCAGACGCTGGTGTGGTGCCTGCACAAGGAGTGACCGCTCCCACTGAGGAGCACACAGAGCACCCCTTTCTTGAGCGGTTGCCGTGGGCCCTGATCCTGAGTCCCCATTCACTCTCTTCCCAAATTGTCTTTTTCCTTAGCCTGGCCCCACTGGGCAGTGAATGGCCTTTTCTGAAACGTGCCTCAGCCAGGGGGAGAGGGCAGGGCCCTTGCCCTGGTGCTCCCAGCTGCCCCTCCAGCTTCTCGGCCTGGCTGAGAGCCCTGGAGGAGGCCATGTCCTGTGGGCAGGCTGAGGGGCCCGAAAGAGCCAGGCTGTCCCTGGCCAGGAACTGGGAGCCCCCCCAGGAGCACGGCCCCAGGACTGGGCGGGAGGGTCCTGTGTAGCTAGTCCAAGCCAATAAAGGCCTGTGATGAGTGGTTGCCCCTCTGCTCTGCCGGCTCACTGACTCTCACCGTGCAGAGCACCTCCCTGGGGGTCTGCTCACGCCTGGGGAGGAAGAGCCAGGCCTGGGTGGAACCCTCTCAGGCAGAGCCCACCAGGGCCACGCTTGGGCGGGCCAGCACCCAACACCTACAGATACAATAGAGGTAGACTCTTGTTAAAAAAAAAAAAAAGAAAAAAGTTTATTGGTGACGTTCAAGAAGAGGGCCGTGGGTGAGTGGGCTGTGGGCTGGAGGCAGGAGGCTACGTGGGCTGCCCCACCTCATCCTCCCGCTGCATCTGGGTGATCAGCTGTTGACGCTCAGCCGCCTGGCGCATGCGCATCATGACGAGGCTCTCATAGTCCCTCTCGGACAGCACTGAGCCCTGGGGGACAGAGGGGACCGGGGGACGGTCAGGGTAGCAGGGCGCAGCCCCCCACTCCAGACTTGGAGGACTGGGCCTAGGCAGAACTACAGTCCTGAGTCAAGGAGTGAGGCTGCCCGGTACTTCTCCGCGGGCTCTCCTCCCACCCATCACAAGCAGCCCCCAGGCCTTCCATCAACAGTCAGCCCTGCTCCATCTTCTCAGGCTGAATCACTGCGTGCGCCAGCCAGGCCCTGTCTCCCTTCATTTCCTCCTCGCCCTTTGTCACTCCTTTCGGCCACCCGTGGCTCGGGCTTCTCACAGGTTTCCAGCGAAGGCGCTGTCAGAGGGGCAGGAGAGCACCGCCCCCTCCCCGCGGTCTGGCTCCTGCCAGGACAGAGAAGGGAGCCCTGCCCTAGACGCAGGCTCAGTCAGCCCCCGCGCTAGAAGGAGAAACAAGCATGAGGCCACCCGCCTCCTAAAAATACACACCAGGGCTACAGGAGGGCGGGGCCCAGTGCCTTCTTTTATGATCTTGCCAGCGCAGTGCAGGGGATTAAAGAGTGCTCTATGTTCATAATCAAAAGAATAATAAACAACCAACCCAACGCGCCAGTGTTGTGGGGTGGAGAGGCAGCTCTCCAGTGGAGCTCAGATCCACCCACCCCACACCCTGATAAGGTCTGCAGTGGCAACGAAATCACTTCTCCCGTCGGTACAGCTGAAGCTTTGTGAAGTGTGAAGCCCCCCTGAGCTGGCACAGAAGTGAGCCAGGCCAAGGGGGCTGCGGAGCAGAGCCAACCGCTGAGCCCTCTTCTGTGGCAGACCCAGCGAGTGCACGCTCACGGAGTAAGTTCAGTGGTCAGTGACCTGGGGAACGTGACGGGAGTGACTGGGGTTGAGATGCCAGACCCTGGCCAACTGGTTTGAAGTAAGGGCTGTACAGAACCAGGAAGTGTGACTCAGCCCAGATCCCCCTGCTTCTCTGACAGTGCCAGCCTCCTTGTCTGTCCGGGGGGCTGCGGCAGCTCTGAGGACAGTAGCCCCCCCAGCCAGGCCCACCTACCTATGCTTGGCCCAGGACACTGCTGACAATTCAGGGCAGCCCCATGTGGCCCAACCCTTTCCACCGAGGAGGGACCCCAAAGAAGGCCCAGGTGGCCCAAGGCAGGAGAGGAGGCAGCAGGACCAGGGCCCTCAACTGCTCTCTCCTGCCCTGAGGCTACGGGAGTAAATCCAGGAAGATGAGGAATTGCCAGACTGGCTGTCAGGCCTCAGGCCAGGGGAGAGCAGTCCTCCCTCCCCAAGGTAAGGCTGCTCTGCAGAGCGATCTTCAGAGTCACCCCGGCGTGCCCTGAGCCCAGCCGTGGGAGGAGCCAGCCCTTTCCAGGCATGGGGCTGCTTCCCGTTAACACACCCTCTACCCCTTCCTTCTCATACCTTAAGGCTTGGCTAAGGAGGGCCTGTCACAGGCCCCAGGACTGAGTCACCCACACTAGTGACAGGTCTCTCTTCCTTCCCCAACAACTGTTCCACATGCCTGCCTTTCAATTAATTCCCACCCTCCTTGGGCTCCTCCCTCCCGGATACTTGGGGGGCAGGAGGGGGGTTGGGGATCGAGGCCCATGGGCTAGGGCCCCAGGCAGAGAGGCTGTGGGGGGAAAGGGGAGCAACGTGGTGACACACAAAGCAGGGCTGCCCCCAGAGAGTCCTCAGGGGAATCCGAGGCTCCCCAGTGCCCTGGGGTGTTGGCCACAGCTGGCCCAATCCTGGCCCGCGGATGCTGCAATTACCTAAGAGCATGAAACCCGGCTTCCCACCTGACTGAGTCACCTGAAAACAACACATCCCCACTGCCACACACCGGCACAAACAGCCAAGCCACTAATCAAGAGTCCGGGAGCTGCGGCGGAGAGGCCAGGTGAGCTCGGGTCTACCCGGAGCAGCCGCCGCCGGGGAAGCAGTTCAGGCGGCTCTAGCACCGAGAGATCCATCTCTGGCACCTCGGCGGGGCTGCCCGCACTCCGACTCCAGTAAGTGCTGCTTCTTCCTCTTGGCGTTTTTCCCCACTGCCCGATCAAGTAACCAGGCCGCTCCTGTCCCTCTGGGAAACTCCTGTCGCCAGGAACTCCCACCTTTCTGCTCTCCCGGACAAAAGCACCCTCTTGCCAGGACCTCTTGCCACCGTCTAAGATGCTGGCCAAAAGTCCATGCTTCTAGCCCACTAGGGCTGTCCCCTGGTTCTTGCCAGTCACTGCTCCAGCGGGAACCTAATGGTCCCCAGCTACTCTTGAACTGGGCTGCTGAGGTACCAGGCTCGTCTGCTGGCTCCCCTGGGTGCCATGGAGACCTGGCGGAAAGGCTCCTTCCGCAACGCCGCCTTCTTCAAGCGGCTGAGCCTAGGGCGGCCGAGGCGACTCCGGCGACAGGGCAGTGTGCTCAGCCAGGCGAGCACGGCTGGCGGGGATCATGAGGAATACAGCAACCGAGAGGTCATCCGGGAGTTGCAAGGGCGGCCAGATGGCCGGCGCCTGCCCCTGTGGGGGGACGAGCAGCCCCGGGCCACCCTGCTGGCCCCACCCAAACCTCCCCGCCTCTACCGAGAGAGCTCCAGCTGCCCCAACATCCTGGAGCCCCCCGTTGCCTACACCGCTGCCTACTCGGCCACCCTGCCCTCGGCACTCTCCCTGGCGGGCACCTTCCACCACTACTCTGAGGACAACCTTCTGGACACTCCCTCCTTCCAGGGGACACCTGCTCCAGACCTCAGTGATCCCTTCTTCTCCTTCAAAGTGGACCTGGGGATTTCACTTCTTGAGGAAGTTCTACAGATGCTGAGGGAGCAATTTCCGAGTGAACCTGGCTTCTGAATGGGGTGCGGGTGGGCAGAGGTGGGGTAACTGGAAGAGCCGGAAGCCTGGAAAGAGGGTGCAGCTGCAGATTAAGAAAAAGGTAGGGATAGGAATCCAGGATCCTGCCTGCCCTCCGGGTCCTGAACAGTCCTCCACGTTACGCCGGAGCGGAGGGACAGAAGGACAGAGGCAAGCTGGAAATGCTGTGGAGGGAGCACTTGCTGGCAGGAGCCCTGAAGGCAGTTGGCTAGGCTGGGAAAGGGAGGCCACGCCTGTAACCACAGGGACGGGGCAGAGGCCAGCAGAGGGGGATGGCAGCACAAGGGGTCTCAGGGAGTGGAGGCCATGCAGACTGTGCAGGTCAGACAGGTGCCCTGCACCAGCCCCTCTGAAGCCACTGTTAATAGACATCACAGGACAGGACTAGACAAAAGTGGTCCCCCCCACTAGCTACATGTGGCTGTTCACATTGGAACTAAGTAAAATTAAAAATTTAGTTCCTTGGTTGCACTAGCCACGTTTCAAATGTCCAACAGCCACACGTGACGAATGGCTACCACATTGGACAGTGCAGGCTGAACATGAACATCACTGGAGAAAGCCCTAGTGGGCAGCATGGGTCTAGGCCACAGCCTGGAGCCACGAGGGCCACGGTGGGCGAGGGGGACAACCAGGCCCTGCAGGGGAGGGGAGGGGCTGGCAGAGTAGGAAGAGCGAGGCAGGTAGAGGTGCAGAGTACAACTCGGGGAAGGCCAAACAAATCATTTGCCGAAGGGACAAGAGAGACAAGCTGCCAACGCTGCTGCCCAGAGCACGCCCTGAGCCCGAGGAAGGAGGCTGTAGGGACTGCCAGCCAGAGGCACAGGGGTGCTTGGGGGAGTTCCCACAATTATTAGTGATGGGAACCCCTGGGAAATGTAGCAGAAACAGTGGCAGATTTCCCTTTCTGCCCCAAGAGCATAGGAGAACCAGATCAGGGGATGGACACAAAACTCGTGGCTGTTACTGTGAAGAAGCTCAGCGGGTCTCCGGAATTCTCCACCAGGATTGGGGAGCTCTGCCTTGCCCGGACCCCCTGATGATGGGGGCCTGCCACCCAGGGCTGAGCCCACTGGTCAAGGCCAAAGGCTGTGCCAGTGCTCCCGGCTTGTGGCCTGGCCAGAAGACTTGAAACCAGAACCACACTGGCTGGTCACGTGGTTCTGACACGCTAGGCCCCTCCAAGCCTGGCAGAGGGGGAGAGAAGCTTCGACGCATGCTGCTTGCACACCCAAGCCTATGGCCTCCCTCTTCCCTCCTCTGCGCGGACTTGCGGAGTTGAAAGCCTCCCCACCAGATGCAGGAGAAAATGAATAAAGTTGTTTGTAACATGGCCTATGGAGTGTCATCTGGGGCTGTGAAATGCTGGGACTTAACAGCAGGGAATGAGGTCTCTAAAGAAGGGCTCCGACCCGTTCATCTTTCTCCTCTGCCCAGGATCTGGGCCACACTCCCAGGGAGCTTCCCGTCCTCCCAGCCAGCTGAGGAGCGCACAGGAGAGCAGGGATGGCGTGGCTGAGGCAATGAGAGCAAAGCCCTGCGGACCCCCCGGGACCCTCTCCCCCACGGGTCGGGCTGTGAGCATGGCAGCCTGAGGCTCCCGCACAGATCCGCAGGCCATTTCAGAGAAGGGACAGCTCTGGGCCCGAAGGCTCTCTGTCCCGCCAAAGTGGGGTGGTGTAACCAGGGCCAGGTGCGCGCGTGTGCAGGTGCCGAACAGAACGCCTCACGCAGCCGTGAGGACCAAGAGCCAGCGCGCAGGTGGCGCCCCAGGGCCAGCAGGGGAGCCAGTGCTGATGCTGAGGGATTTGGCCTCTTGACAGTAGGCCCCTGCCGGGGCAGCCCCGGACACACCTGGAACTGAACCAGAGCCGGGTAGCAAGCAGCTTTTCACACTGCCTGCCCCTTCCTTCCCTGCGGCACCAGGCAGGCAGTCGAAGTGCCCAGTGCTTCACACCACAACCAAGCAGCCCGTGGGCCAGGAAAGCCCCTCTGGGCGATGGTGGGAGCCCCAGGCGGAGACCGGGGGACATGGAGGGAAAGGAAGGTCTAAGAATTCTGAGCGGGGTGGGGTCCTGGCACTCAGAGACAGAAAGAGTCAGAACAGAATCCCAGTCCTGTTCAGGTTGGCAAACCTGCCAATCTCACTCTGTTCCTGATGACCTGGATTTGGGAAGAAAGGGCCCTGAGCAGAGCCCAGACAGAAAAGGTCCCTCAAACCCTGAGCAGACCCAGCTGAGGGAGGTGTGGTTCCTTACCTGTGACAGTCCTGGGTGGCTGGGGCCCCCCACATCCTGGGGCTGTCCCTCCAACCAGGAAATCTTCAGAGGGTTATCGACCAGGCCCACTTCATTTTGGACAGCCAGCTCCTGCCAAACACAGTACCCAGTCCTTGGTCCCATGGCTCCAATCAGCCATAAAGTGGCTCTCTCTACACCCGCAGAAAGATTCAGAACCAGCACTCTCATCCTCCAGGCAAAACCAAGCAACCTTCACACAATGACAGGCTGAAGCTTTGACCCTCCTCATGGGTGAGTGGGGGCTACGAGCCTTCTAACTGGGGAGTGGGGGGAGAGGCAAAGCATGCCTGGAGGCATGTCAGCTTCCAAAGGAAGGGAGAGGGTGTGGAGCCAGGCAACAGGGAACAGTCGGTCTATGCTCTCCTTCATCCCCAGAGCATTCTCCCGCTCTTACCTTCACTCACTGTGCCTCTACTCCCAGGAATCGGCGGGGGGAGGCCCTCTGGGAGTGTGGATACCTAAGCTCAGAGGGCCCACAGTACTGGCTCCCTACTCTGGAATAGCAGGGCCACCATGGCCCCCCAAAGCCTCCCACAGCACTCACCGCAGCCTTGATGGTTGCAAACTCCACCACGGCAGTGCCAGCCTTCTTACTGGAAAGCACCAGGTGGAGCACCTCTCCATACTGTGAGGACAAGGGGGTCCCAGTAAGCATGGCTCAGCCTTCGGGAGCAAGACAAGTTTGGGTTGGCCTGAGGCCTGCCAGGGCATTTTTGGTTGGGGGATAATGCTTTGTTGCTAATTTCCCAGAGAGGGATCAGAGATGGGAAAGAAAGGAGATTTTTGCTGGGATGCGGAAGGATGGCAAAGGAGAGCCGGGCAAAGGACTGAGGACTCAGACTGCCACCAAAGGTGGGGAAGGGGATGGGGCTTCTGTGCCAAGTGCCCACCTTGTCTCTCCCCACACACTCCAGATGGCAAGGACTAGAGCAGGGCAGGGAAGGCGACACCGGCCTGAGGGTACATGGCAACCCAGGGACCAGAGGGCCGTAGCTGGGGAAAGCCTCTAGGCTGCGCTACGGTCTGTGAGGCAGAAAACGTTTAGGCATGGAGATTTGGGGTTTTGGCTGAGATGTAGACAGAGATGGTAAAGAGGGAAGGCAGCAGGGCAGACCTTCTGGAAAAGCTGTAGGAGGACATCTCTGGAGTAGCCGCCTTTTGACTCATCTTCTTTCTTGCACTTCCATTTTAGCTGAAAAGACATCAGTGAGTGCCACCATTAAACTCTGACCTCGGCCTGAACTGTCCCAGCGCCAAACCTGAGCTTTACACTCTGAGCGACACTCATGGTCTTCCAGGCACTTGTCATCTAGGAAGCACCACCAAAAATATGTGTTCCGCTTGAAAATGGACAGGGAGGGTGGCATGCTCACTGGAAGCCGCACTTCCGGCCCCATGAGATGCTCCCCTTCCAGGGCTTCTGGGGAGTGCTGCCTGGCAACCGCCAGGGCTAAGGGGGCCTTTCGGGGCGAGCTCTGAGAGGCCAGCCCGATCCCCAGGCAGCGGGAGGACAGAAGGATGTGGGTGGTAGTGCTGGCTCCCAGAGGCCCAGCATCCCCGCCAGAACCCCTTGAGCCCCCAGAAGGATCTGTTCTTGCTGACAAGAGGTAGTGTGCAGTGGCTCATGGATCCCACAGGGGGTTTAGCTTGGGAGTTTAGCTTTAGCTCACCTTTAGCTTGGGGGTTCCTCTGCCTTCAGGATTTTCTGCCTTTCCTAAAAATTTTGGGAAAATTAGCAAGGTAGAATAGGAGGGAGCCAGCAGGTTCTCTAAAGGAGACACAAAGACCTATAAAAGGTCACTCCTTACCAAAGGCAGTATCTGCCCTCCCTACTGATGAGCTTGGTGGGGAAGGTAGAGGCAATCCCACCCCCATCCAGAGGAGCTGCCACCTCAAGGGCGGTCTGCCCGGCTGCCTGCTGAAGGCCACGATTAGCACTCTGCCAATAAAGGTTGAGACAGAGGTGCAAACGCCATAGTTCTACTGAAACAAAGTATCCCAGAGCCTTTCCTCTACTGATCTGCTCTAAAATAGAGCCAGCTCTGCTTAGGGCTCAGACAAACAGGGCCAGGAGATCTCAGGCAGAGTGAAAAACAAATAGGCCCCAGAGAAATGGTGGGAAGAAGGGACAGGTGGTGTATGTCTGAGTCAGGTGGCCCCAGGGTTGCAAGCAGGTGGAAGCCTCCAGAGCAACTCCACCAAGCAGCCAGTGTGCCTGCTCTGGGCATTTGGAGCTGCCTCAGAGGGGAGGTACGTGGAGGTGAGAGACGCTTACCTCTCAACCTCTGCTCCCGTTCCTGGCGTATCTGCTCCTGGATCAGCCTCTGCTGTTCCTCCAGCTGCCGGGAACCCTCTTCCCGAAGGCGTTCAATCTGCAGAGCGGGGTTGGGGGGAGTGACAATTCTGTGCAGATCCAATTCCAGGTTGGCTCACCTTGTGAAGGTCCCTGGGAGGCTCCACCTGCAAGCTATGGCTCAGCAACCTGTGGGTTGGACAGATTACCCAGATCCCACAGAAGAGGGAAAGGGCATGCCGTCCACAGCCACGAAAGCCACCGAGGCCCACTCTCCTCCTTTTCCTGCAGATAGATTTAGGCTGGCACGCCTGGACGCTCACCTCCTGCTCCAATGTCCTGGTGCTCCGGCTCTCCTCCTCCTCCTCACTGCCATGGGCCTGGGCCTGCCGCTCTCGGGCCTCCAGGTCTGGGCACAAGAGTTGAATGACCCAGTGTCTGGTCTAAGCAGTTTCTACATGGCCACAGCCTGCCCAAAGTCTCACGCAGGATGAAACCATAGAGTAGCTCCACCCCCTTCCTCCATGCCCATGTGCTCCCAAGTTAGCCTTTGTTGAGAACAGTCAGAGCACAGACGAAGCATGGGCTCCAGCTGAGTGGCCAGGGTCTGGAAGAGTTACATCAGCTCACGCTGACCAAGCTGGTTCTCCGGCCAGTGAACAGGGTGTGCGTGGGTGCTTATGTCAGCAGCCCAGGGTCACGTGGCAGGGACGCCGAGGGTGGAGCCGCTGGCCTGCCGCTGTGGTTTGGCACCACAGCCTGGCCTCCGCCTTGGCGGTGATGCTTCTCCCACCCCCGAGATCAAGTCCCCACCGTCTCCTTTACCTCCCTCTCAGCTCACATTTACCAAGCCTCACTTTGGACCTGACTCTGGTGGCTCCTACAGGCATGGCAGAGTCTGTGTGAGGACATCACACCATGTCCTGGAGCCCTTCCCACCTTCCAAGAGGAAGCTGCTTGTGGCCCGAGGCCAGGCCAGCTGCTGTGACAAACCCTCCTCTCGGGCCTGGCACACACAGCTTTCCTCTCTGGGCACTTTACTTACCTAGAATCACCAGGGTTTTTTGTTTGTTTTTGACAGCAAGGTGGATGGACTGGGATGGTATATGTACATATTAAATATGTGGATGTCAAACAGGCAAGAAGAAGGGGAGAAAAATTGGGTAAAGACTGCCTGGAACAATCTTATTGCAGTGATGAAAATGTTCTCAAACTGATTTATAGTCATAGTTGCACCATTTGGGAAATTTACTCAAAACCATTGAATTGTACACTTCAAATGGGTAGATGTTATGATATTCAAAATACACCATAATAAAGCTTTAAAAAAAAAAAAAAAAAGAATGCCTGGACCTATTTGGATTCTTCTGAGGGGACTCCACAGAGTGAAAGCTCTGTGCAGAAGTGAGGCTGGGATGCATCAAAAGATCCAGGACGGCATGCTGAACAAGAACACAGACTTTGCTCATAGTGCGTGGTTAACTCCAGCAAGTTCTTATCTTTTTTGTGCCTTAGCTTCTTTATCTATAAAAAATGGATTTAGTAATACCTACCTCCTTGGATAGTTGTGATAATTAAAGGAGGCTGTAAAGCATCTGTTACAATGCTAGCTGGTAGTAAATCTAGTCACTGTTGTTATTCCTAATTGTGTCCTTTAAGACCCATCCCTGATAGCAGGGCTCTGCCCAGACCTGGAGCCAAAAAGCTCTGAGGTGCTAGAATTATAGCTCCAGGAAGAAAGGTGAGGGGCTGCATGAAAATGGCCCAGGGAAACCAAAGGCCACCCAGCACCACGATGTCACCTACCAAGCTTCACTTTCTTCCTTCTCTCATCAAGTTTCTGGGTCCTCTCTGCTGCCTGCTTCTTGGCTTTCCTGACCTTGTCATATGCAGCCTGGCAGGAGAAAGGAACACGGAGGAGCAGTCAGCTTGAGGACAAGCCTGGAGCCCAGCCATGTAGCCCGAGAGCCGTCAGGAAGCAGCCTAGCAACCAGGACTCAGGCTGGGGCAGCAAGGACTGTGCCGCAGGGCAGAGTATAGGGGACTGAGGCCGAGGGGCCACAGTGGTGTCTAACCACAGGGACAATCAGATAGAGGAGGATGAGCTTACCCTGGCTGCAGCATCGGTCAGTACCTCCAAGGCCTGAGAAAGCTGGTGGAAGAGCTCAGCTAAAATATGGATCAAGAAAGAGAGAGGACAAAAATGAAGTCATGGGCGCCTGGGTGGCTCAGTCAGTTAAGCATCTGCCTTCAGCTCAGGTCATGATCCCAGGGACCTGGGATCAAGCATCAGGCTCCCTGCTCCGTGGGGAGTCTGCTTCTCGCTCCCCCTCTGCCCCTTCTCCTGCTCATGCTCTCTCTTTCGCTCACTCTCTCTCAAATAAACAAATATAATCTTAAAAAAAAAAAAAAGAATAATGAAGTTGGGCTTGATGACGGTGTGCTCCCTCAGAAAAGCACCTCAAAGAAGCCACGGGCTGGCAGGAAGGCCGACATCAGCAGATGATGGACCAGCAAAGGAATGGGGGTGTACAGGCAACTGACCAGATGCCCCTCACATGCAAAGTGCAGGTTTGGGGCTGCACACCCAAAGCCAGGCTGCCTGTGCGTGCCAGCACTCCCCAGCACGCACACGGGAGCGGAGATGGGGAAGACACCACGTCCATGTGAGCAGGTCTCACCTTCCCACACCCGGAGAGTCTCACCTGCTCTGGGATTATCCGGATTTTTGTCTGGGTGGCAGGAGAGGGCCTTCTGCCTATATGCCTTCTTCACCTGGAAGAGCCAGAAGATGTGGTTGTTCACTCTCTCACCCCAGGACAGAGAGGAAAATCTCACTAACGAGATAAAGGGAATCCAGGGAGTGCTCCCCCGCGCTAAAAGAGAGGCTGCTGGCTCCTACGCAGAAATAGTCACCTCACAACCTCTGAGGAGTTTTGCAGGGGAGGAGGCAAAAGCCATGGAGGGAGCTGACTGCTGTCCTGCAGCAGGGAAGCTGGACCTACTTCCTGCTGAGCACCAGTCTCACCACAGACGATGTAGAAGGGCTCCTGGCAGGGGCAGGTTTCTTTACAGCCACCTGGAAACAGGCACTCACGTGCTCTTGGTGGGCATGTAAACTGGGGCACCCTTTCCGGAAGAAAATTTAGCCATACAAGTTTTAAAATGTATTTGCCCTCTGATCACTCCTAGGAATTTGGACTTGTAGAAGTATCCCAAAGCAAACATACAAAGATGTCCACTGCACCACTGTGTGTTTATTTTTTTTTAAGTTTTTTTTTTTTTTTTTTAAAGTAGGCTCCCACCCAGCATGGAGCTGAGTACGGGGCTCGAACTCATAACCCTGAGATCAAGACCTGGACTGAAGAGTCAGACACTTAACCGACTGAGCCACCCAGGCACCCCTAAAAGATTTTAAGTAATCTCTACACCCAATGTAGTACTCGAACCTACAACCTCGGGATCAACAGGCACATGCTCCACCGACTGAGCCAGCCAGGCACCCCTGCAGCAACGTTTATAGTAGATCAGCACCCACTGGAACGAACCAAAATCTCCATCAACAGAGAGACCCATTAAAAATACTACGATTGGGATGCCTGGGTGGCTCAGTCGGTTAAGTGGCTGCCTTCAGCTCTGGTCATGATCCCAGGGTCCTGGGATTGAGTCCCACATCAGGCTCCTTGCTCAGCAAGGAACCTGCTTTTCCCTCTGCCTGCCACTCCCGCTGCTTGTACTCTCTCTCTCTCTCTCTCTAGCAAATCAATAAATAAAATCTTTAAAAAAAAATACTATGATAGAAGTCTATATGTGCTGACTAGAAAGATCTTCAAGTCATCATCTCAAGCAAAAGAAAAAAAAATTTAACTCTGTATGATGACAGATGTTAACTAGATTTTTTTGTAGTGATGGTTTTGAATATATACAAATACCAAATCATTATGTTATACCCCTGAAACTAATACAATGTTATATGTCAATTATGCCTCAAAAAAAATTTTTTTTCAAGGTACAGTGCATGAAAAAAAAATAAGACTTAGAACAGTATATATAATATCACTTTAGGATTTAAAACAAATAAAAGAACTATAAATAGAAATATTTGGGCATGTGCATAGCCTTTGGCTTCTTTTTATTTTTTTTTTAAGATTTATTTATTTATTTGAGAGAGAGAGCAGGGGAAAGGGGCAGAGGGAGAGAGAAACTCAAGCAGAACCCAGCCCCCCGCCCCCACCCCCGCACCATGGAGCCAGATGTAGGGCTCGATCTCACGACCCTGAGATCAGACCTGAGCTGAAACCAAGAGTCAGATGCTTAACCGACTACACCACCCAGGTGCCTGTTTTCTTTTTTATTAGAAACTTATGAGAGGGCGCCTGGGTGGCTCAGTTGGTTAAGCGACTGCCTTCGGCTCAGGTCATGATCCTGGAGTCCCTGGATCGAGTCCCGCATCGGGCTCCCTGCTCGGCAGGGAGTCTGCTTCTCCCTCTGACCCTCCCCCCTCTCATGTGCTTGCTCTCTCTCATATTCTCTCACTCAAATAAATAAATAAAATCTTTAAAAAAAAAAAAAAAAGAAACTTATGAGAAAAAAAGTTTCTTATCATAAGAAACCTAACAGTGGTTTCCTTTAGAGAGAGGCTGAAGATGGAGGGGAGGGAAACATTTACTTCTTATTTAAAAAAATTTTGTTTTGCCTCACATCGGGCTCCCTGCTCAGCAAGGAGCCTGCTTCTTCCTCTCTCTCTGCCACTCCCCTTGCTTGTGCTCTCTCACTCTCTGTCAAATAAATAAATAAAATCTTAAAATAATAATAATAATAAAAGGTATTTTTAAAAATATATTTTATTTATTTATTTGACAGAGAGAGAGAGAGCAAGAGAGGGGACACAAGCAGGGGGAATGGAGGGGGAGAAGCAGGCCTCCCGCTGAGCAGGGAGCCCGATGCAGGGCTCAATCCCAGGACCCTGGGATCACGACCTGAGCCGAAGGCAGACGCCTAACGACTGAGCCACCCAGGTACCCCATAAAAGGTATTTTTTTAAAGTATCTCTACACCCAATGTAGGGCTTGAATTCACAACCCCGAGATCAAGAGTCGCATGCTCCACCGAGCCAGCCAGGTGCCCCCATTTACTTCTTATTTTATACTTTTCTGTAGTTCAAGTTTTCAAACCTTAAACAGGTCTTATTTTATTATCATTTTTTATTGTCTCTTGGTGGGGAGGTTATGGTCCATCTTAAGTTTTTATCTTGTATCTCTGAATTAAAAAGAAAAAAGATTATTTCCTGTTAGTAAAAATAAACAAATGTAGCCACCAAAATTCTCTATCATCTATTGCGCACTCAGCTGTTTTAAAGACAAGGCAGAGCACAAAATCCCAGAATCGCCTCTGGTTCCTGAGGCCTTGCCCTCACTTCTGCCTGCATACCTTACCTGCCACTCAAACCTGCTGTGAGGAGGAGCCTCTGGACCCAGAACTTCCTCAAGTAGCTAAGCCAACTGGCTTTCTAGGCTTCTCAGAGGAAACCAATAAATACTTCTACCCAAAGCTGCTAAGTAAGGACTTTCAGAGGCAAGCAGCCAGCACCAAGGGCGGACGTGTGGACAGGCGCCTCACTCCACTACCACCTCCAGGCCCAAGGAGGGTGGGCAGCCACCTAGCCCAGGACCTCTAGGGTGTGCTGCCACCTGCTGGGCTGCAGCGGGCACTACATCTTCACCAGCCTGGGCGACCAGCCCATCAGGCTCTCGGGGCGCTCCTGGCTCAGCCCAGGAGACAGAATCCACTCCCAGGACAGGCCTTGAGCAGCCAGAGTGTAGATGTGCCTTCCTACACTCCCACCTTCCCAATCAGCTACCTGTGCTCACGTGGCCCACCTGCTTGCCTCCCCAACCCAATCTAGCTTTTCACCATTAAAAAATAACATCCAGCTCTGGTTTCACTATTAAAAAATTAATAATAAGAGAAGAGGTAATAGTTTTATATACAGTTTGCAACTGAAACATCACCTCTACTCTTTCAGCCCTTTATCAATCATTTTTTTCTCCTTCTTTTTTTTGCCTCCTACCTGTGCCCCTGGCTTCCTTTCTTTTTCATTTAAAACTAAGCCTTTATTATATTTCTTTATATATTAGGGTCCTTTATTTGTTGTTTTTCTTCAATAAGAAAACAATACTGATGTTCTTTCCCCAGTTCCCCAACTCTCTCTTCAAGGTTTGAGCATTAACTGGATGGTGGGTAGCCTTTTAAACCTTCCTCCTTGATAATACCAGCAAATAGGGCTCTTTTGAATTTTGTTTCTGCCTCTCTCCCACTCCTCTCTCTTTGGTGAAAAAAAGAGGCAGGGAGAAGAGGGTGTCTGTCACCTCAACGTGAAAGCTGCCTGCCCTGAGAATGGACTTCTTCAGGACCAGGATGAGGGCTGTGGCCTACTGATGTCGGGGCTTTTGAGGAACAGTTTCTTTTGTATCATGGGATTACTTAAAAGTATTATATGTTCACTTTTGTAAATCTGAAAGAAAGGGGGCAAGATGGACCGGTAAAAAAGCAAGATAGAAGGAGAATGGCGGGGGGACGCCTGGGTGGCTCAGTTGGTTAAGCGTCTGCCTTCTTAAGCGTCTGCCTTCGGCTCAGGTCAGGATCCCAGGGTCCTAGGATTGAGCCCTGCATCGGGCTCCCTGCTCAGCGGGAAGCCTGCTTCTCCCTCTCCCTCTGTCCTCCAGCTTGTGCTCTCTCTCTCACTCTCTATCTCAAATAAATAAATAAAATCTTTAAAAGAAAGAGTAAAGGAGAGAGAGAGAGAGCACAAGCAGGGGGAGCAGCCGGCAGAGGGGGAGGGAGGCTCCCCGCAGAGCAGGGAGCCCAATGCGGCACTCGATCCCAGGCCCCTGGGACCATGACCTGAGCCAAAGACAGACGCTTAACCAACTGAGCCACCCAGGTGCCCCTCTTTTTTTTTTTTCTTGTTTGAGAGAATGCTTTATGGACTTTATTCTAAAGGAATAATATTAAAGTATATTGTTGTGTGTTTTATAATTCATTTTGGATGTTCTGTATCAGAAAACTGGTTTTTGTTTTTGTTTTGTTTTGCGACACACACCTTAGAGTCCAGGTGCTTGTGGGACCTGAGTTGTGTTTAAGTATTTATTTTAAAAAAATCATGTCTCTGGGTTAGCCTGGTGATGGGTATTGAGGAGGGCACGTTCTGCATGGAGCACTGGGTGTTATGCACAAACAATGAATCATGGAACACTACATCTAAAACTAATGATGTAATGTATGGGGATTAACATAATAAAAAAATTTTTTAAAAATTTAAAAAATCATGTCTCCATTTGTACTTAAGCACTATTCTCTTGTGCACAGGTGAATATTTGCAATTATGTTTCATGTTGGGCATGACCAACTGCTGCAAAACCATAAAAAAGGGGACACAGAAACAAACAAAAAAGAAAACTGTTTTTGTTTTACTTACATAGGGAAACAAATTGCTCAAACTGAAAAAAATTAATTATGTAATAATGGGAAATTATATATATCAGTTTGCTTCCTTATCAATTCTCTTTCCAGAATGTGTTCCTTGGACAAATGTCTATTAACAGTCTCATCAGATCTTTTTTTTTTTTAAGTAACAGTATAACTAGACCTAGGTTACCTCCATCTGCATGGACCCCATCTTACCCCTGCCCTTCCAGCTCCATACTCCCCAAATTTACAATTGCCCTAATCAAATTGATATATCGGACCCCCCATTCCCTCAAGGCCTGGCCTGG